ACAACATGAGGGTGAGTAAATGATGACAGAATTTATTTATTTATTTATTTATTTTTGTTGAACTATCCCTTTAATGTTTTTTATTTTTACTTTTTATAAACACAATGATACTCTAAATAAGAAAGTAAAACTACCAGCAGGTAAATGGGTTGTGCTCCAGTGCGCATGAATGTAATGTTCTGAAGAGTATGTGTGGCAGTCAGTCTATAAGATAACCGTTGTGAATCGGGCTAAAGTAAAGCGATAGTTTTGAACACTGGCTGGTTATGTATTTGCTCAAATATTGATTTCGGGTCATTTTTAACCCAAAAAATGTTACGGACTGCAGCTTTAAGGTTTGCTTTGAAATACATTTTAAATAATAAAGTTTTAATAAACTTTTATCGTGCTTTATAAAAGTACACTTACTTTAATGTGTAGACTAACATACTAAAGCACATGTAAAGTACTTCATTATATTTTAACTGTACTGTTATATAGGCATGGGCCGATTACCGGTTTCAAGGTATACCGCGATTAGAAAATTTCACGGTTTCAAAACCTCTAATATTTTCCGTTAAGAAAATCCTAAATATTGATTTGGGGGTTTATATGAATGTGTTTCTGAGGGGAACCGACTGTCTTCAGAAAAGTTTACGTGGTATTTTCTTTTCATCTGGTCTCTGTATCGTTCATATTAAAGCAGTGTTTCAGCGCAGCTTCTGTGTTTACGGCGGTAAGCAAGGAAACGCTGTATCTGGTGTTTGAGAAGCGCCTCCTGCTGTCAGAGAGAGAATCTGCTTCTTCTTTTTAGGGCAGCAGTAGCTCTAGCAGCAAATCAACCATCCACATCAAAAGCTGCAGGACAGCCCACATTTCAGAAACAAATCAAAGAAAAAATAAACAAATACTACTGTTCCAAATATTCTGTATGTTGCTCAAAATATATTGTGTTCAGTTTTTAGAGCTGTCTCAGAGACACATTTTAGAGCTGTAACAACAATACCGTGACACTGTGAAACCGTGATATTTTTGCTTAAGGTTATCATACCGTCAAAATCTCATACCAGCCCATGCCTACTGTTATAATACATTCCAAGGCAATTTATTTTAAATATACCAAATTTTAACTTCATCATTACCAATATATTTAAATACATGAGACAAGTTTCAATAGAAATGACATTAAAGTACATTTTAGTTTATCATAAATCCTTGTCAGTAGATACAGTTTAACAATAATTCAAGGACGATAGAAGTATTTATGAAATTACATAATAATATGTGCTTAAGTCCAGTGGTGGGTGGATTACTTATAAATTGTAGTCTGTTACTGATTAGAAATTACATGATGAAAATTGTAGTTAGCGACATAATCTGGATCACACATATTAGGCAATGTAGTAGTCTGACTATTTTTTGATTACTTTTAAATAATTTTTGACCAAACTCATATAGTAAATAGACTTGAATGGGATTTTTTGCGTACCACACTGATAAAATAAAGAAAGAAGGCGAATATATTTAGTTTTTTGTTATAAATATCATGAAATGCATTAAACGTACGTTACATGACAGAAGGGTTTCCCAAACTGGGATTTGTGGAAAAACAATAGGGTGTTGATGAACAGCTAATATAAAAATGTCAAATTAAAATGACAAATAATACAAAAAAAGTCAATCTAAAATTAGTGCAAATTTGTCAATGTGACCACCAACATCAGAGAACCATGAACATGCAAATATGTTGTTAAATTACTGATATCTCAGATTATTTTAAGGAGATATTTTAGGTCAAAGGGGTTTGGTTCACCAAGAAGCCCTACATCACATGAACAAGCATTATTAAAGATGAAAACTTTGCATTATATGACCAAAGTCTTAGTCTAGGTTTGAAATACTTTTGTGTAGACTTTCAATATTAATAATTAGTGAAGGTCACTGGATATGATGAACGGCTATGCATCGGCAGTGTTTAGTAGAGGTCGACCGATGTATCGGTTTTGCCGATTAATCGGCGCCGATAGTTGATTGCTGGAACTATCGGTTATCGGCAAAAATCCATGCCGATAGTTTTCTGGGTTGCGTCCATTGCTGAAGCGGCTGAGAAGGGTCTGCTGTCATTACACAGTGCGAGAGCGGCCTCTAGTGGTTGAAATTTCTCCACAGCCCAGGTAAGACGCTTCTGACGTTCTCTTTGGTTCAGGAGTGGCTTGACACGAGGAATGCGACATTTGTAGCCCATGTCTAGGATTCGTCTGTGCGTAGTGGCTCTTGATGCACTGTCGCCAGCCTCAGTCCACTCCTTGTGAAGCTCCCCCAAATTCTTGAATGGATTTTGCCTGACAATCCTCTCAAGGCTGCGGTTATCCCTTTTGCTGGTGCACCTTTTTCTACCACACTTTTTCCTTCCACTCAACTTTCTATGAATATGCTTGGATACAGCACTATGTGAACAACCAGCTTTAGCAATTAACTTTTGTGTCAATGACTGTCTTCTGGACATCCGTCAAGTCAGCAGTCTTCCCCATGATTGTGTACTGACCGTAGAGACCATTTAAAGGCTCAGGAAACCTTTGCAGGTGTTTTGAGGTAATTAGCTGATTAGGGTGACTTCCATGACTTTCCAATATTGAACTTTTTCACAATATTCTAATTTTCTGAGACACTGAATTTTGGGTTTTCATTATCTGTAAGCCATAATCATCAAAATTTCAAGAAATAAAGGCTTGAAATATTTCACTCTGTGTAATGTATCTATATAATATATGGGTTTCACTTTCTGAAATGAGGGAAAAAAAATATTGACCTTTTCATGATATTCACATTTTTTGAGATGTACCTGTATTAGATGAAATATTAGGTAATAAAGTAATATGAAGTAAAACCGCCAGCTACGGTTGTTATTTTATATATTTCAGAATGCGACATTTGTAGCCCATGTCTAGGATTCGTCTGTGCGTAGTGGCTCTTGATGCGCTGACGCCAGCCTCAGTCCACTCCTTGTGAAGCTCCCCCAAATTCTTGCTGGTGCATCTTTTTCTTCCACACTTTTTCCTTCCACTCAACTTTCTATGAATATGCTTGGATACAGCACTATGTGAACAACCAGCTTTAGCAATTAACTTTTGTGTCAATGACTGTCTTCTGGACATCCGTCAAGTCAGCAGTCTTCCCCATGATTGTGTACTGACCGTAGAGACCATTTAAAGGCTCAGGAAACCTTTGCAGGTGTTTTGAGGTAATTAGCTGATTAGGGTGACTTCCATGACTTTCCAATATTGAACTTTTTCACAATATTCTAATTTTCTGAGACACTGAATTTTGGGTTTTCATTATCTGTAAGCCATAATCATCAAAATTTCAAGAAATAAAGGCTTGAAATATTTCACTCTGTGTAATGTATCTATATAATATATGGGTTTCACTTTCTGAAATGAGGGAAAAAAATATTGACCTTTTTCATGATATTCACATTTTTTGAGATGTACCTGTATTAGATGAAATATTAGGTAATAAAGTAATATGAAGTAAAACCGCCAGCTACGGTTGTTATTTTATATATTTCATTCATGTTGTTTTTGTATATTGATTTTGCTTTATTAATATTTCATTCATTATATTTCATTCATTTTGATTATTAATTACATTTAAATTATATTTAAGATAAAATATTTTGGAACAATTTGGTATATTTAATTTATTTTATTTTTTATTTATTATATCACGTTTATTTGAAAAATGAATTACATCTGAATTGTCTCTAAAACAAAATATTTATGAACAATTTGAAAGGTTTTTATTTCGTTTTTATTTTTAAAATTTGGTAGTATATTCATTTATTTTGCATTTATTTTTATATTGTTTATTTTGTTGCGTTTATTTTAATTATCCATTAAATTTGGATTGTATTTGAAATGAATCATTCATGAACAATTTAGTTTTTTATTTATTTGGTACGTTTTATTTATTTAGCATTTATTTTTATATTTCCTTTAGGCCTACTATTTCTAATTTATTGTAATTATTAATTACATTTAAATTGTATTTAAAGCTAAATATGAATGAACAATTCATTTTTTATTTACTTGGTATATTTCATTTATTTTTATATTTCACTTATATTTAATTTCATTTGTTATTTAAATGTAAATTATATTCGAAGCAAGTATTAGCACTTTTGTTGATTTTGATTGCTTCCATTGTCCTCATTTGTAAGTTTTACTATTACTATTATTACTTTTTTTTACTACTACTAGTATGGTTCAGTACTGTTTTTGTTAATAAAGCACTATTTTAGTTTTTGTTCAGTATCAATTTTAAAACAATCGGTTAATTAATCGGTATCGGCCAGTGTGGTCCAACCTAGCTATCGGTATCGGCAAAATCCACTATCAGTCGACCTCTAGTGTTTAGTAACTTCTGTAATTATTAGTCTCATGTACATTATAAAAATAAAAAAAACTGGGGTGAATCAATAAATTATGAATAATTTACTGCCATTGTGTGAATAAGATGCAATCGTGTAATCCATAAAATAGTAACTGTAATCTGATTATTAACATTTTAAAGCATAATATAATACTTATTTTTGTAATGCGATTACATAATCAGATTACATGTAATCCGTTACTATCCAGAGCCACTCAAGCCATTGCATTACGTTTACACTTAAATGTATATTTATAAAGCATAATAAATAATATTTGAAGTTTAATAAATACTATTGCTACTATACTAGTACGCTAAAGTGTGCTTCTTTTAAATGTTTCAGCAGATCAGAGTTATGAGTCACAATAACGAGTTTCTGTTATGATGTTTTATGCTAGTCAGCTCGCAGGAGCAAACAACACACACAAATAACAGCTTAAAATGAAACTTCGCGCTTACGTCTGCTATTTACCAGCTACATGCGAGCGTGTCACGAGACTGTTGTCATTTGCTGCATGTCTAAAGCTGCTAGAACATACGATGCTGGATCCCACTATAGTGAAGGCGGAGCTCATTAATATTTATCACGCCACCGAACGCTTCCGTGGGCGCCAAGCCTCCCATTGGCTGATTCGCCTGCTTACATAATAACATATACAGTTCGGCCAATCAGATGAGACGCTTTGAGGGCAAACGTTCCATGACGTAATTAATATTCATTCGCGAAGTCTTTACCGTAGTAGGATGTCCAAATGCACTTAGCCCGATATGAAAGCTGCAGTCGATAACCGTCTTCGCAAACAAGCTGGGTAGTGTATACACATATAAACGTTCTTAAATACATACATACAAAAGTATGAGATGATAAACTATTTGCTAGAGCTGTGAGTCTAGCTGTCAAACTCCGGTCTGCTGTAGACGCTGCTGTTTTGATTCACCTCACCTGCGCTCTCCGGCTTGCGCCTCCGTGGATGTGTCCATCTCCAGTGCAGGTAACGGCTTGCTTCAGAGCTGAGGTCGGGTTTAAGCGCAGGAAAGCTCTGGTCAGGCTGAAGGTGTTTCCACTGGGCGTCCCTCGCCTCCCTCATAACAAGACAGACGAGCGTGAAGTCAGAGATAAACCGGATGCGCATTCCTCCACTAGCGGAATCGGATTGTTTTTCAAAATAAAAGTCAAACGTAGGCTCGTATCGTATCAGAGCAATGCAGTACATATTAATGTCCCCATAATATATTGATATACAGGTACATCTCAAAAAATTTGAATTATATCACGTTTATTTGAAAAATGAATTACATCTGAATTGTCTCTAAAACAAAATATTTATGAACAATTTGAAAGGTTTTTATTTCGTTTTTATTTTTAAAATTTGGTAGTATATTCATTTATTTTGCATTTATTTTTATATTGTTTATTTTGTTGCGTTTATTTTAATTATCCATTAAATTTGGATTGTATTTGAAATGAATCATTCATGAACAATTTAGTTTTTTATTTATTTGGTACGTTTTATTTATTTAGCATTTATTTTTATATTTCCTTTAGGCCTACTATTTCTAATTTATTGTAATTATTAATTACATTTAAATTGTATTTAAAGCTAAATATGAATGAACAATTCATTTTTTATTTACTTGGTATATTTCATTTATTTTTATATTTCACTTATATTTAATTTCATTTGTTATTTAAATGTAAATTATATTCGAAGCAAGTATTAGCACTTTTGTTGATTTTGATTGCTTCCATTGTCCTCATTTGTAAGTCGCTTTGGATGTAAATGTATTAATGAATAATTTAGTTTTCATTTATTTGGTATATTTAATTTATTTTGCATTTACTTTTATATTTCATGTATTATATTTCATTTATTTTAATTATAAATTCAATGTAAATTATATTTAGAGCAACAATATTATTGAAGGATTTCGTTTTTATTTATTTGGCATATTCAATTTATTTTGCATTCATTTTTATATTTCATTTATTACGTTACATTCATTTTAATTATGATTACATTTAAATGCAATTGAAATATTGAAGCATATTTTAAATTTTTCAGCATATTTGTGGCGTGCCGTGGCGTGGCAAGGCGAGGCGTGGCGTGCCGTGGCGAGGCGTGGCGTGGGGTGGCGTGCCGTGGCGTGGCGAGGCGTGCCGTG